TATAGCCTCTAAATTTTTGTGCTGTTCAGTAAATTGCAAAGTCAGTCCCATTCATCATTATGTTTTCAGACGATCAAAGAGAGCCTCAACATACCTTCTAGGAGTTTATCAGCTGATTCATTGTCAGTTATTTTACCATCCCAATCGTATGGATCCGTAAGTTTGAATTTCTGTTTGGTAACTTCATCCATGAGCTGTGAGAATGAGTGTCAGTATTTTGTCGTTCTCAGCCGGATGAGGGTTTTGTGGTAAGGCGAAGATGAAAAAAAGAAGAGGAATTGCTATCGCGTGAATGATCAGTGGATCAAATCTCGAGTAAGACGTCATATAGCCTCAATGAGTCTTCCGTCTTTGACAATTAGATTGTCTGTTCTAGGTCCGCACATCGAAACCCTTGGTGGCTCTTAATGAAGCTCAAATGCATGGCGCATTTTCAATTCAAGCGCGTTTTCTCCCCCCACAGTAACCACTTGTTTGTGACACATATGAGGAAATACTCTTCTTTGTCATCACTCATATGTATTTTTGTCATCTTTCTTCCGAAGCGATGCAGTTTATAAGGAAAAATGAGAAAGGATTAATTTATGAAGTCCCCATTTTGCCTTATTTGCCATAGAAATTCTAAAGTCAATACTTTGTATAATAGGTTACTTACCACTTCAAACATCTTTTTGTAATCTGGTCTATCGTAGTAACCCAACTTGTCGAAAGACTTGAAGATTGGTAAGAAAACTTTGGATAGACTGAAAAATGGGGATGAGGAAGGAACTGGTAATAGGCTCAACCCATTGACGAGCGGGGCCACACCATATCGTGCTTCTGTCGTATTTATATTATTTATCAAGTGTTTTTATAATTTTTTCATGTTTTCAAGTATCAGCTAAGCTCACAGCCTTCTAGAGAATCTTGAGGCATTGTGGTCCAGGAATCATTCATTTCCAACCACAGTTATAAGAGAAATCAGAAGATAATGTAAGGACAGTATAAAAGACGCGGTCGCCAATGGGTTAACGACCTCGCATTTTCTTTGTTTTCCAAGGAAAACTGCCTGAACTAACTTCGAGCAACATAGTTTTTCGAGAGGTGTTTCTTCTTTTAATGCTAGCACAGCCTCTGGATGAACGGCCTTTACCCATGGTAGAGGATCGCGCATTTCTATAGACATATATGCCCATGACCATAAGTCGTCTACACGACCCTAAAGAAATACTTTTTGTATAAGGGAGCGAGAAAAGGAGCAGTCCTGCTGTGGAGCAATGTGATCGACCACTTCCAACCTTTTTCCCATTTCTTACGGATTATCATTTAATCTCTACCCTTTCTCTTGTTTCTTTACAGTTCTATTCTTTTGGGTGAAAAACTCTTTTTGTTCCTTTCCCCTGTCTTCCTTCCTCCTAGCGTTCGCCCAACACCATCCCAGTGTCCTTTGTTTTGATTAGTCCTCACCATTTCTTTTTGTATATGCCATCTGTGCTCTAAACTTGATTTCTGCCAGGTCTAAAGTTCCATCGCCCTTCTCTCACGTTTTTTAGATCGCAACAACAATGAGGGTCTTGATATTTCGTCACTGCAGAACTATCCAATACCCTGTATCCTCCCAGTCGTCGGATATTCTATTTGTTGAATCAGATTTGTTTTCAATATAGCCCTCATGCTTAGAAAGGCTAACTGTTCGTTAAGAAGCGGCTGAACAGTTTTGATACTGGTTCACCTGTTCAGCTCCACGTTGAGTAGAGAGCGAGCAATATCTAAGTGTACCTCGAAATGATACCTGAAGGTAGGAATAGCAGTTCAAAAGGAAGTAAAAAATGGACTTCTAGAGCTGTTGGTACCCTTGTCCTCTTCCGTTTGATGCACCATTCTGACTTTTCATTTTTCATTGCGTACTTTCTGGTCATTCCTGAATGTAATGGGAGATCTTTGCTGGTTACTCGAGTAATACTACGACTTTCTTCTTACCAAAGTCGAATACGTGAATGATTTTGGGTGATGCGCACGATATAGCAAAATTGCACGGCTTCACATCACGATGTACGTAGCCGATTTCGTGCAGCTGAATTAGTTTATTGTAGGGACGTACTGAAGGTCATAAGTATGAGAATATGTAGTACGGATGGGACCTGTTTCAGGGCTAGTAATGTCCTAATGGCGACACGAAGGATTGTGCTGTCGCTCAGCGGCCCCACAGCTTTGCAAAGGTGTGTTAGATCTGCTCCACATAAAGTCATTACTATGTACCTGAAGTGAGTAAAAATTCTTTGGAGGGCCAGCTCCATTGTTGTACAGATACCGCTATTTTTCCAAGTATTTCATGCAAACCGAGCTCAAGCCTGTACTATCAGAGTTCAGGGTAGGAGGTGGACCTCTCTAACTGTTCCTTGTGCTTGGGTAGAACCATTTTCTCATGGAAAACGGACCTTGTGGGCTCATTGATGAAGTAGTTCTCAGGCCCGAAAAATAGGGGCCGCACATACTATGGCCTTCGGGATTCGATCACTCACTCATGCACCTCCCTCCATAGAATGGAACCTAACAGGATGGACCTATATCCTGATCACCTTCCCCTTCATTCCCATCCCTTACGTGAGCACAAGCTTAAGCATGGAATCAGGACAGACGAGCGTGTAGGTGGAGGAATTATGTAGTAGCAGAGCATGTTTTTCGACATGATAAATGTTATTATTTTCAAGGATCGCACTCCAAAAGATTGGATAAAAGAAGGGTTATATCCTGGAATTTCCCGGCTCATAGTCGAAATAAATTTGGGAGTGCAATCATCGCACTGTATAGTTAATAGGAAAGAATTGAAGCTTTACGAGTAAGTCTCAGTGGTGCCCATTGATATCAGTTTCATAGCTCCTTTTACGCCTTTGAATCCTTGTAATACGTTCCGTTCCATTTTCAGTACTCGATCCGCTTGAGATTTACTTTCTGTCTACAAGTGTAGTGGTTAGTAGTGCAACTGCCTCAAAATGTTGTAACTCCATACTTTCTGCTCCTGTCTTCTTCTACTGTCAGATAGTGGTAGATGAGGAGTTCTGACTTTTTTGATAAGTCACTCACCTTAAGAGCACCCTGAACTCCATTTCTGGCATTGATTACGTGATAAACTTGTCCATATGCTCCTTTTCCCAGCTTCCGTACCACTACCCACACATCCCTTACCACCTGTAATTGCAGAAATTTTTCAGAGGAATACTTTGGTCAACGATGTCGCAGTTGAGCAGACCCAGTACTCTTTTCCAATCGAAATCGTAAAGCTATTTGAATGCTCATTCGCGGTGGCCTACACAACGGTCATCGTCAAGTGGAAGAGGAGGTAGGATGGTATGGGAAAAAGAGAAAGAGAGGGGTGGGGGGTGGAAGGGGCTCTGAAACTTATTACCATAGACGATCACTCTACAGTGTGCTCGTCATTTCAGAAATGATCAAATTGAATTCTGACACTTTTCTTCAAACCCCTTGTGTCATTTCTTATCATTATCACTTCAATCGTGTCTAACTTCAACTACTATTCCCAAAAGAGGAATTTTGGCTACATTGAACCCAGAGATATTCCTTTTCAATGCATCTCGTCACCCTTTATCAGTTCTTATCATTTAAGTCACCTTTTATCGAAGAACCCGTCACACCCCACGTGACATTCTTGAGCTCTAAAGCTTCACTGATTGTGAGTGAACTCAAGCATCTACAGTCAATGTTCTTAACTTGTCACCGAGTTCCGTCAAACGGTCGAGGGAGGACCGTAATGGGGTGTACATCCCATAATAGTTTATAATCTTTTTTGTTGCGAGACTATAAAGTCCAGTAAACCCTATTAGCACAGGAATCACGAACTCCTATCGCAGAAAGCCTTTGTTCGAGAGTCTTATTACTAGATCGGCCAGTAGTCGTCGTCTTGGCCGCTTGAGGCCCAGCTGACAACCATCCTGTTTGAACGATTTAGAAACGGGGGTCTGGGATGTGCGCTAGAACATACGTTCTTCTCTCATCGTATCCTCGACGTAACCTACCCTTAAATAATCATTGAGTGATTATGGTGCAAAGTAGTCTGCATTGGGCTGATAACAAACACCGCCACAGTCCACAGAGGCCCTTCGAAATGCTCTGTATCTCTACGGACTGGGAGACTGGGAACTAAGAGTACTGGACGAAATTCTAGTTATCAGAGGTTATCACAGGTATCATAGGTTATCTCTATCTGTCATTCTTTCATGTTCACTTTCGTAGCTGGGGTGGTTTTGTGCGGCCGGTAACTGGCTCCCGGATCCTCTAGGGATGGAAATTCTGGGTGGTCTAAGCGAGTGTCAATCTAGCGATCGATCTTTGGCTCATGCGTGGATGGCGTACGCTACTTGCCACTCTACCACCTCCCTCCTTGAGTGAAAAGGACGAGCATGTGGGATGTTGTGAGGTCAGCTGCTCATTGGCAATTCTCCCTAGAAATGATATATCTCCGGAGTTTGGCTCCACTTTTACTGGATTGCCCTAACTGGCCTGTAACGATTAAGTTGGATGTGCTTCCCTGGTAGACCTCACTTTTCGTGTGACGGCATCTCCGCATGATTCGATGTGGTCTTGGGTTCAGCAAACCTTTGGTACGACTTCAGCGACTTCACTTTTTCCTCTTGGTGTGACAACTGTGAATCACCAAAGTTCAAACTCACCGTGCCTGGCTCTAGTTCCACAACGTCCTCCACATGCTCTTCCTCATCACTCATTACTAGAAAATGGACTGACCACCCTGTTATCCGATATTTATACGGCCTCAGTATCATCTCGAAGGATATCTTCAATAATGGAAGTCCATTTCTGCCTCAATAGTCCGGTTCAGGGAAATAGAACTCTACAAGACTTATTTTCTTTCCAAGCAGTGCTCCCAGGTGACAACGTACATCTGCAGAAGGGTTATGTAAATATAGACTGAATTGAAGAAGCACCCTTTCAACAGAGAGACCCGCCCTCCCCTATTGGACGGGTGCTCCGGTAAGGAGCACCCAAGGCAGTCAAAACCCAGACAAGCAATTTTTTCACTACATTATCTCTTAGCGGTTCCTTATGCTCAACACATATAGGGTCTTCCATAATCCTTCCAAAACATTGGAAAACTGCCATCGGAAGGTCAGGGAGCGGATCGATGAATATCTCATGCTTTACGCCGCTTGTTTGAGGGCTTTGAACACGGTCCCACCGGGGAGTACGACGGACATGGGCTGAAGGTTCAAACTCCTCTAAACTATTATCCACTCTTCGTTGTCTGATTCAGAAGGTCTACCGAGAAGCTCTAAGCAGTCTGTGACGAGGGATATGGCTGGGAAGGGGACAAAGCGAGGAAAGAGGAAAGGGGTTGGGTGGGTGTTTCTTTATGGAATCCAAGCATAGTCTACCATTTTGCCAGTTATAATCATTGTCCCGTTTTACTCCTTTTCCTTTACTTACAAAAGTCAACTACACCCTTCCCATACCACTCCATTGGTGTAGGGACGAAGGTGGTGTAGTGGCAAGAGGCGCAGTTCACACGTGGATGGTCACGAGTTCGAATCCCTGATCGAGATCCGTGAAAGCCCACGCCAGGCAAGCCTTCCATCTCCTTGATGTCGGTCTCTTGGTTCGGACTCGTCTGGAACAACCAAAGCACAGACCTATACACCGGGTTGCCGTCGCAATTCCATGTATGGACCGCATACACGTTCAATACGCCGCTATACGATTCTGAATGGAAGTCAAAGCCGGGGCGCAACCGTCAGACGGGATTGATGAACACCAAATAACTTTATCCTTTTATCCTTTATCAAAGATTCATGTCTCATTACTTACAAAAACTAGCTTGGTAAAGTCATTCACTTTACAAACTGGTACACATCCAGTTGAATACATTTCAAGTTCGCTTCCGTAATAACGATTACAATGGAAAGCCATTGAAGTTCTCTATTCTAATCGTTACTGTTACTATTATTGAAGCCATTGAACTTTTTTGAAGCTCAGGTGTGGTACATCCTTCGTTTGATAGGCTTCACAACAGCTAAAGAAACCTTGCTCTCATTTTATGGGCACTAGTTAATCAACGAGCTCAATGTCCTACCGAACAAAAAAAAGAACTGGTTCCTGGATGTTTGCTCCGTATCACACATAACAAAATCAGCGGACCATTTTCTTGATTTTCGTTTGCTATGCTTTTGGCATTTCAATGTGGTTCTCCACTGGTATGGCATCTTGGCTTATCCATCAGGAGGCGGGGCTGACAGAAGAGGCGTTGCTGCCAAGGTGTCAGTTACAGTGATTCGATTTTAGATCGCTTTTTCCACATTACATACATATATTGCCCCTTCTAGCTCAACTTATGGCAGAACTGATCTTCGAGGAAAAGAGAAAGTGGCACCGAGTCTTAAAAAAAGTTTTTGGGCGTTGACCAATTTCGTCTTAAGGATGCGCTACCGCACCGACTTCCATTCAGAATCGTAGTAGCGTACTGAATGGTTATTTGGATGATTCGATGGCGTGCGAGGGCCATCCGACCCCATAGGGATGGAAGGCCTTGTTGGCCTAGGCGTACATCAATCCGAGAATCGAACCCGTGACTCCGTGACCATGGTGATGATGCGCTTCTTGCCACTACNTCACCTCCCCCCTACGCTCGATTTTCATCGGCCATGAAAGAGATTAGCTCTATGTATATATAGTCCTTCCTCACAAACCGGTCATGTCTCGCTTAGGCTTCCTAGCCTTATGTGGCGAATACAGTCCGTTTGCTCAACCTACGTCATCGGATTGGACGAATGAACAGTTTTGCGGTCCAAACAGGGTGCTTCGGAGGCCTGAAAAGGATCTGGTGTGGGCTGCGTGGGCGGTTCACACTAGAATCAAGTTAGTGACTCTAGTGAGATTTTCCCTCAGCTTTGCTACTCAAATGGTTTTTGTGGTGGCCGGAATGGAATTTCGTGAAGTTCTTCATGCTGTTAGGATCTGGCCTTGTAGACTCTTACTGTCAGGTAAGTCAATAGTATAGTAACAGGTAGAAACATCAGGGGATGAACGTTCTTCAAAGGGAAACTTGACCACTTCCATTCATCATCAATTGGCTATGAGGTGTTGTCGGAACTCGAACATTTGCTTATCAATCAATTGGTGACCCTACGTGACGATTTTCATTTCTGAAACCTTCGAGATTTGCTAGTACCGTTGGAAATCGATAGGAAATTCTCTTCTCTTCTGGAAAGTTACTGGTCGACAAGGCGATAACGATCATATTGATTTTCGTTCAACGATCATCAAAGTTATTCGAATAGCTCTGTCCCAACCAGGAGGGTTTCACGTAGGTAGTACGTGCAGTCGTGCACCTTTCGTGTTTCACTTGGTATTAGCGGAAAACGTCGAATTGCACGCCATCGTTTGACGTGTCTCGTTTTCGTCACGTATCAGTTCACCCCCCTCCCGAGCTCCCCCATTCCCACTAAGCTGCCATTCATTTCTGTTCAGCTTCACAACTCTCTACTATATCATCTTCCTCAATTCCTTGCTATTCATCTAGAACTCTGATGATTCCTCTTTATTCTCGTTGACTGCTCTCCATTTTAGGGCTACTTCTGATTTATAGGCAAGATTCAATGACTGTCGCCGTCATATGGGCGCTACCTTACCCACATCAAAACCAGTTTGTGCGCTTTGAGATCAGAGCGCGAATTTTCCATAAGTGGAAAGTGGAACATGTGCTTGACAGATTGATTCATGAGGATTTATCCTGTGAAAACTGCGAAAAAAATGCGATGTTCGGCACGTGCGGAAGGTCGCGCCACGCTTTTTATAGGTGCAGCCGAGTTGACATGAAGTAGATGGCTGGACGAGTTATGTTCATTCGTCCCAAGATATTCATAGCTGAAATTGCACTATGAAATCCAGGAAGTACATGTTCATTTCGGACATCCTAAATTTTACTTTTAACAAAATACCTTTCTTTGGTAAGTATGTAAATATGTAATTGTACGTTTCCTATGGAAATACCTGGAAAATCCACTTTGCGAGAGACCACGCATCCCCTCTGGTATCGCCTCCTTCAAAAATAGTTTTCAGAAGGCTCGTAAGGTCGGCGAGTTATGGACTGGAACTCCGCCCTTGAACGGGACTCGAACCCACTACCCGGGCACCATGCTAGGCTTCAGAAGTTTCTGGGTTTCTTCAATGGTTTCATAGCGATTTTTTTTTTGAGAGATCCTATCAGAAGTTCAGCTGGAAGGAGCCGGAATTCCAAAGTGGAGAGGGGAAGACGTGCCGCTTCTACTATTGCGGTCGATGCGGTTGGAATGGTGTGATTATGGGGTCGTCGAGTCTTATGGGTGTTGGAGAAGAATGATAGCAACTGAAAGAAAAACGTCGTCGATTTGGTCCCACTGATGGTCGTAAACTTATCAAAAATGGTCCTCTCAGTTTCCATAGATAAGAAGAATACGGAAGCAGCAACAGCCGGAGCACCTTAGCTGAAGAATTAGTTCCGGACCCAACTTCAAGCGCTATCTATCAAACGGGGTGTCCTTTTACGAATGCCAACAGCTTGTCCTTGTACATCAATCATTAAGATGTCAGTGTTGAAATGGTGCCACTAACGTTTACGACAGCTGCTGACTGTGACTTTACATCTGCTTTTAGATTTACGATTCAAAGTTCACTAGTAGGTCTTTGGTGGGCTTTTATTTTTGTCGGTCGTGCTTCGTTCCCAGTTCAGCGACAGCTCGTCGGCCTTGTCAAAATGTTCTCCCGGGAAACTAATACAATGATGCGCTTTGTGTCTCTTGAGGAAGAGTGCCCACTTGGGTTGAGGCACTCCTAATGGTATGCCGCCCAAGACGAAGCTGTCTAATTGCTTGTCTATCACAGCGGGACAACTAGCAAGGAGTCGCCGCGCGCCTGCTTCAACGAGTAACCGATCGGTAGTAGTCTTGCTAGTTGTCTCGTCGTACGCTGTAGGAGGATCTGGAGTAGTGCGGCGATGCGGCGTACCCATTAAATGCTAGTCGGGTGGCAGGACTTGCACCCGAACTCCGGCAGGCGTTTTGCAACAAATACCGCAATCTTCTAATGGGAATCCAAGTCCTTGCCATTAAAAAGTGCGACCGGGCGCCGCACATCATTCGGGTGTAGGAATCTGTGGCTACTAAAAGTTGGTGGTGTGCGGAACGGACTAACGGGAGGGACATCACTGGCAGCTGCTCTAAGAGCTCATAAATCAACGAGGCTCTGGGATGATGCATGATGCAGGTGATGAGGAAATGCGCCCAAAATTGTTCATTGGTTTGTTCAGGTGAACCTCATGTTCCCTGTATGTGAACGAGTCTCTGATTCAATATCGCACGCAAACATTCATCGAACAGCTGTGCAATTTCCTGCAACCACCCCTTTGCACGACAAGGAAGTGCAACAGTCTGTGCTCAGTTAAAGTGCGTCGTTCTCCGCTTCGTTGCAAAGCTTGGCTTTCGCTGACAAAATGATTTTGTCGCGTAGCATTGGGCTCAAAATGCCTGATTTTGGGGTCTGATTTTTGGGCTTCAATACGGCGACGTGACATCGCAACCTCTTCTCCTACAGTTGCAATGCCCACTGCTTTAGAGGCACAGTTCACGATAATTTGGGTGTGACCCAGATTATGAAGAAAAATGGAAGATCCAGTGGAAAATAGGGCGATGAAGGCGAAGAAAATGCGCAGATTGGCGTTTCCAGAGTGATAAAANCT